GGATTTAAAAAACTGAGCGAACATGTTAGAAATTGTTTGATTATCACTAAAGTGCAAGTTGGAAGAAGCTTGGACTTATCGTTGAGATTTGGCAATTTTTTGTTCGCGCATTTTCTTCCATACACAGTATGTTGAATTTTTTTTTGTATGGAGAAAGTATGGTATGAGCTATACCTTCCACAAAATTTACCAAATACATATCAACGGTAGGTAAAATATTCAGTCGGACAATTTTCTCAAAATCGGTACGAATGGTCACCGTAAGTATACCACCAGTCCCATTCATTCAAATGATAGCTATATAAAACTAAGAAATCGTTTGATATTTTTGTTAAAGCAATTTTAAACATTACTTATCGTTCTATGTTGAAAAAAAAATATATATCTTTCGCTGTCGTATAAGATCCGACGACATAGTTATAATTCACAATTGATCACATTCTGGAGTAAAATGTCCCACCAAGTCACAATCGAATGACCCTTGTGCTAGAGTGTGGCATTCGTAATTTCAATTCTAGAGCATTTGCGTCCAATCGTAAAGTGAACACAACAGATAGATTCGAAAATTCTTAATCATATCGATTGTAGCCAGTACTTGCGACAGGACCGTTTCTGGGTAATTCAGTCAAATGAGAGTGTAGGACCTTAGCTAGTTATACGTCGAGGGAGAGATGGATCAAAAGTTATGAAACTAGTTTTTATAAACATTTCAGACTTGTTTGAAGAGATTTTCTTTGATTTCCGGAGCACCTATGACTCGGGACTCAATGCATTTTGTAAAGTAAAGAAGTTCATCATCAAGCTGCTTTTCTTCAAAGAAGTGAGTGGCATTTTTAATCCCTAATTTCCCAAAGAATGCATGCAACAAAACAGCCAAAGATCAATGATCTCATCCAAAAATTTTTACAGTGCATTTAAGTTTTGTATTTGATTAAATTCACTGCCATTATGCTGCATGAATGAATAGTGGGTTAACGATACAAGTCAAGCCTTTCTGGTTCACCTTGATGTTAACGTGCCTGGGTGTAGATGTGAAATTTATCCGTAAGTACTTTGCTCAGTTGACGGGTAGGTAAATACCGCGCTGCGCTTATGTAAGTATGTATGTAAGTACAAATGTGTGCCAGTACGAGTAAGTAATCAAAGCAGTGCGCGCATGTGCAAGCGCCCACTGAATACAGCATTGGGAGTAGTAAATAAGTATATGTATTTATATGCATACATATGTATGTATGTATGTAAGCCCAACAAGTTGAATTGCCTTGAAGATTGTGCGTTTAAACGTGGGCAATTTCTTTTAATTTAACTGAATTTTTTGTTTTTTTTTTTGTTAAATTATTTCGAAAACGAAATACAAAAGAGAAGAGTACGGAAGGAAAATACATCCAAGTGCAGGCGCACAGTTAACAGATAAAGTATAATTCCTAGACTAAGCAAGCCAAAATTTGTAGAAAGGTGGAAAGCGAAATTTTCTAGCTGCAGAACTCTGGCCGTACTTGCCAATTGACGTCGCCTGTGTGCCTGCCGCTGAGCCGCGCAACACGCAATTATCTACAAAATAGTGGCTTCCGCGAAAATTCGACTACATATTCTATTGGAGCGGACTTGTAACTAACTACGAGATTTTGCTTTCCTTTTGCAGGTATGCAAGTAGTTGTCTTGCTACGTTGTTGCGCATGTTTTTTGTTGTTTTTTGCTTTTTTTTGCCCAGTCAGTTGTTGAGCAATTGCTTGGCAATCTAAATGAATTGCGCGCTAAATGCTGCAGCAATTGCTGCATTGCAGCTGGCTAAGCGAGTGGGTAGCTGGCGAGCGCTCCTTGGTGTATCCGGCGGTTTCGGGGTCATGCGGGCGAGACATGATTGCTTTTTTCAAACCATTTTCATTGCTGTTAATCTTTACTTATTCTTGTTTTTGGCTGCTTAATGCAGTAGCTGAAAATTGTGGCTAGCTTCCAAATATGTATGTACGTCTAAGCCATTTTTGTTGGTCTAGTTGTTGCAGGTTTTTGTTTGGCAGCATGATTGCATGAATTGGTAATGGCGCCTATTTGGCCAATGAAGAGTGCGCCCGACTACTGTGCGCTTGATTTCATGCAGTTTATTTAGGTACTTGCTTGTGTTTGTTGTGGTTGTTGTTGCTGAAGCGGTAGCAATTGCAATTAATACAATTACCCAACAATCAAATGCTCAACCGGCAGAAGACCAGTCAGCCAAGCAGCAGTAGTCAGCAATTTTCCAAACTCAAATGAACCGAACTTGAACCGTTCGTTGGCTGCGAATTAAAATAAATGCGATTGCATTCGCAATTTCGCGCCTGCCACAGTTGACCGTTAGCGCATGTTGCAAATGACTAAATGCTGCTGCTGCTGCTGCTGCTGCTGCCTTGTTGCATGCGAGCCGGTAGACAGCGATAGATTGTAATTTAGTCGTTGGCATTGCAGTTATTTATAATTTATATTTACATACATATATATGCACCTACATTTATGCATACATAGATACATATGTACATATGTATGTTTGTTGTTATAAACGAGTGCAATGAGGCGGTATGAATGAGTGAGTGCCTGCGCATATTTTTCAACGAGTTTGATTTATTTGGACATTTTTGTCTTTTATAATTCGTTTTAATTATGGTTTAACACTTAACTCGGGACATACATAGGTGGTGCTCACATTTGATTCGTTTTATTGTTGCCACATTTTTCAAAGATAAATTAATTATAACGTCTGATATTTTTTATTTTATTTTTAAGAACAGGCGATTGAAAGCGTTGTCTACTGCTGAATTGAGAGCTTATAAAAAATCTGACTGCATATTT